CAACCCTTAAAATACAAAAAAAAAGAAATACTAGTCCTTAAGCAACTTCCTAGAAGGATAAGAGAGGCTTGAAGAGACTATCTGTTTTTAACCAGGAAATTGATTAACAAAAGAATAGATTTTAGATGGTTGGTCCCAGAAGGGATACTAACCTTCTGGGACTCGAAAAGATACAGATTGGATACCTCGCTTAAAACAGTGGAATTCTTTGACAAGCATAGATCTTTTTTGGAAAAAGGGGATCCTGAACCTAAGAAACAAGAGGAGATGGGTGCTGTAGGAGCGTCTGAACAACTAGAGGAGGAAGAAGTTAAAAAGACCACCCCAGAGGAAGAAACAAGACTGAGAGACTTGTTTTATTATTTTAATGTACAGTGAAACTGCTGTTAAATTAAGGTTTTATTCAGGAAAAATAATTTTGTAACCATTTACATAATGTTTAAAATGAAAAAGCATTTTGTCAAAAAAGGCAAAAAAAATTGGAAGTGAAATAAAAAATTATCCATGCTTTTGATTTTGGAAAATATAGGCATACTTTACTACTTGCTGGATTTTTGAGCTAGTGGAACATAAAGTAAGTAATTAGAAGCTAACAGCTTAATGATATTGAATAATGTATTTTTCTTATTTTTCTCATTAATGGTGAAATGTATACAAACATTAATTATGACAGTACAAATTCAAACATACATTTTGTGAATAACTTGATTAACTTCCTTTCCAACAAATGAGACAAGTAAAAGAAATCTTAGTGAACAGATTTTTTTCAATCCACAACTATAAGGCAAAATATTTTTAGAAGGCACAATTAAAAATTGTTGCATAATATAAAAATTAAATAGTATATTAGAACATTTTCTTTATGTATTCATATTCTAGAGAGCAAGAAGATGATGTAATCATCATCAACAATATAATTAATTAAATATAGTTAAATGCCATAAAATACATTTTCTGGTGCAATGCAAATCAAATGAAAGAAGAAACAAAATGTAAAAAACAAGAACAACAGCGTATGGGGTTGATTAACAAATAACACAAGAGAGTTAGATTCTTCACTTAGGCCCTGGTTAGGATAGATGGCAGACCCCTTGTGAAATTATTTTCTATTAGCGTTTGCATGCTTTTTCTTTTTTCTATATTTGTAGTTAAAGTTTGCTTTAAATTGTCTAGAGTTATAACATAGGATGGTCTACAAATTAAATACTTTGTTCAGTCCCTTGGCACCAGGGATAGCTAGTACTGTAAAATAAAAGTAAAAGTTTGTTCACTTTAATGTAATAGTTGTGATTTGCTAGTTTTCAGGGGAGGTAGGATTTTTAAAAATGTCATACTTTTAATATGCATTAGCTGCCTTCAAAATATTTATTAATATTAAATGAAATGCTGCTTTAAGTGTATATTGCTCCATAATAGCTTGTTTAATGCAGTATAAAGTTCCACAATTCAGGCAGAGCTTAAATATAGAGGACAGCAACCTTTTGAGTCCTCAGTGAGATCACATGATTGCAAATAGTGCAGTGCCTCTCTTGACCTGACCACATCTCATTCAAAATTGCAGAAAATTCATTTGATTTCATATAAAACTATAGTTAGTCCTCGACTTATGATCATAGTTGAGCTCAAAATTTCTGTTGCTAAGTGAGATAATTGTTAAGTGAATTTTGCTCATTTTACAGCCTTTCTTGCCACAGTTGTTAAGTGAATCATTACAGTTGTTACGTCAGTGACATGGTTGTTAAGTGAATCTGGCATCCCCATTGACTTTGCTTGTCAGAAGGTCACAAAATCCAGATGCTTGGCAACTGACTCATTTTTATGACAGTTGCAGTGTCCCAGGGTCATGTGATCAATCATCATAAATATGAATCAGTTGCTAAGTGTCTGAATTTTGATCACATGACCATGGAGATGTTGCATAGGACATAAGTGTGAAAAATGATCATAAATGGTCACTAAATGAACTGTTGTAAGTTGAGGACTATTTGTACTGGAATCTTGTGATATGTCACCAAAACCTCAGAAGAATCTGATGTTTCCACACACAAGCACTCATTTTTATCCATTTTCAGTTCATAGGAACTGGAATGGAAACTGGTGATATAATATTGCCTTTATACAAATTAATGGTGAGATCAGATTTGGAATAATTGTACAGTTCTGGATAGCATAGAGCTAAAAGAAGAATATTAAGGTATTAATGTTATAGAGCAGTGGTGGCGAACCTTTTAGAGACCTTTTATGTATTGCTGGGTGCCAAGTGGGTGTGGCCTGCTGGGTGGGCGTGGTTATGGTGGTCATGGCAGATTGGGTGGGCGTAGCCAGCTTGATGTTGCTCCTGGGGAGGGATGCTTGTGGCAGCTGGGCATGGTTGGGGGAGATCAGGGGGTCTCTGGCAGGTGGGGCAGTGGGCAGGAGGGCGACTTGGTCAGCTGATGGCTTGGGGGGGGAAGGGGGCAGATACACCCCTTCCCAAATGCTGCCATCTGCCCCCCCAGCCTGGGGCTGGTCAGATTCCCCCCATGGGTAGCACTGTGCCCATTCCCGACCAGCCCTCCTCCTCCATCCTCCTCCTCCTGTGGGCAAACCGCGGCTTACTGAGCTGGGCGGCACCTCTCCCTGCACGCGTCCTCAGGTGGAGGAGCTGGGCAGTCACGGCTCTCACTCCCCTCCGGCCTCTATCCGCCCGAGGCCTGAGCTCGACGCGCCCGGTTGGCCAGTGATGGGCTGGAGAGTGCAGGACGGCAGCAGCTGCCCCGGGACGAGGGGTGGGTGCTCCCGATGTCTGCAGGGGAAGGGGCATGGAGGCTCCACGCCCAGTCTAGCCCAACCCCTGCACGGCACAGAAAGCGAGGCAGCAGCCCCACGTGCGTCCAACTGAACCCTTGCAGAGTGCCATTCTCCTGCCGCTTTCCCCTCCCACTCGCCGCACGGATCGTGCTCCTGCTGCTTGGAAAAGGCCTCTGCTGCCCGGAACAGGCCGCTGTTATGCTGCAAAAAGGCCTCTGCCACCTGAAATGGGATGTTGGGACGCCGCAAAAAGGCCTCTGCCACCCGGAACGGCCATGGGGGGAGTGTGATAAGGCCTCTGCCCCCCAGAACGGGCTGCTGGGATGCCACAAAAAGGCCTCTGCTTCCCGGAACAGCCACTGGGATACCTCAAAAAGGCCTCTGCCGCCTGGAACAGCTGTGGAGGGCGCGAAAAGGTCTCTGCTGCAAGAACGGGCTGCTGGGATGCCACAAAAAGGCCTCTGCTCCCTGGAACGACCACTGAAACACCGCAAAAAGGCCTCTGCCGCCGGAACGGCTATGGGGGCACGTGAAAAGGCCTCTGCCATCCAGAATGGGCCATTGGGATGCCACAAAAAGGCCTCTGCTGCCCAGAACGGCTGTGGGGGGCCATGAAAAGGGCTCTGCCGCCCAGAACGGGCCACTGGGACTCCACAAAAAGGCCTCTGCCACCTGTAATAGGCTGCTGGGATGCTGCAAAAAGGCCTCTGCCACCCAGAACGGCTGTGGGGGGTGCGCAAAAAGGCTTTTGCCACCCAGAATGGCTGTGGGTGGTGCAAAAAGGCCTCTGCCACCCAGAACAGCCACTGGGATGCCATGAAAAGGCCTCTGCCACCTGGAACGGCTGTGGGGGGCATAAAAAGGCCTCTGTCGCCCAGAATGGCTGCTGGGATGCGGCAAAAAGGCCTCTGCTGCCTGGATCGGCCTGGGGGGGAGGCGTGAAATTGCTTTGCAGGCATAGATCTAGGTGGCAGAGGCCTTATCCAGGCCTCTGGAGCCCGTATCAGGCTGCTGGATTGTCGCAAAATCGCTCTGGAGGCTTACCTGTAGTCATGCTGGCAGCTGCCTCCACCATCCACCCCTGATCTGCCCAACTCTTGCAGTTGCTCCCTGGCTCTCAGTGCAGAGAGAAAGAGAGCGAGAGCACAGGCGCACATGGAGAGGGAGAGGGGAGCAGCTTGGTCCTGCCTCCCTCTGGGGCGATGGTGTGCATGCCCACAGGGATGGCTCAGCATGCCGCCTGTGGCATGTGTGCCATAGGTTCACCACCACTGTTATAGAGCAGGGCTTTTCACCAGTGGTACGGGTACCACCTGTGGTACATTGGCACCTGGCAGGTGGTACGTGATCATCCTAGAAAAGTGCTAGCGGGGGAGGGGAATGAGCTGAACCAGAGGTACCACCGCACCATGCTGAGAGAGAGATGGATGGAGCTGCAGGACTGTCAGGGCTCAGTGGAAGCGTCAGAATCAGCGCCAGGCTCCAGGTGCAGCTCTGTGCTGATCCTGCCACTTCTACTGAGCCCAGAAGAAACGCCGATCAGCTGGAATGTTGCAGCATCTCCAGGGTCTTGTGATTTACATTCAGATCTTGGCAACTGATTCATATTTATGACGGTCACAGTGTCCTAGGGTCATGCGAAGTAACCAAAACCTGCTGCAACCACCCAGCAGACGGGGGGAATAAAAACCAAACACCCCCACCCCACCTCCGCTGCCAATCCTCAACAGAAATGCTCACAACAATGGAAACCTCGGACAGGAGGAAGAGTGCCGCCGGTTAGGCAGGCAGGTGTCTTGCTCGGCTGTGGCTTGGGGGGCACTTTTTTCAGTGCCATTGTAACTTCGAACAGTCACTAAGTGAACTGTTGTAAGTTGAGGACTACCTGTACTTTATCACTTTTTTCCTTTATTTTGTCATCAAGTTTTTGACACCTTGCTAGGCAACTGGTGGTACTCAGATATTGCCATATCCTAAAAGTGGTACAATGGGTGAAAAGATTGAAAAGCCCTGTTATAGAGGATATTACAGAACTAGAAGAAGAGCAAAAAAATTGGCAATCTAAATGACATGTAGTGTTTCTGTGCATGGAAATACTACAGCAGATGGAACTGTTTAGGAATGAATAAGAGAAGGCTTGATAGAGGTATATACAACCATGCATTGACTAAATAACACAGATAGATATTTTGCTCTCTCTCGAAAATTAGATCTTGATGCCATCCACAGAAACTAAATGCAGAGATTCAGGAAAGACCACAGAAGCTGCCTCCTCCTCCTCCTCCTTGACAGGAATTGATCAGCTGGCTTGTCACGACTAGCCAAAAGTTACCCAACCAGCTTTCATGTCTAAGGTAGGACTGGCATTAATAATCTCCTAGATTCTAGCCTGGTACCTTAACCACTAGTCCAAACTGGCGTTTTAAATATACAGTATCATATAGTTAAATTGTAAAATTGCCTCCAAATAATGAAAGTGGCTGCTAATTTGAAAGGTTATAAATGGGACCTGGGTAAGTTGTTTGGTTTTAGTGTTAATGATTGTTTACTGTTTACTGATTCATAGGCCATATGCCTTAAATATAAGGGGAATATTTTTCCTTATGAATAACTCTAAAATTAAAAATATTGTAGCTACTTATGTACTGCCTTACTGTTGTGAGTAATTGAGTAATACCTGAGGGTTCGGATAATCTGATTTGTATATTATCCAAGGATTCTGTTTGGTGATCACTGTTTCCAACTGTTGGTTTTTCTCTGCTGTTCACTATTTCTTGCTAACAGCATATATTTGCCTCACAAATCTTCCTTCTATGGATTTACCAAGCTTTTACTATATAGATAAAAGTAAAGGTTTCCACTGTCTGGTAGTGTCTGGGAGCGGTGCTCATCTGCGGTGCTCATCTGCATTTCTTAGCATTGTCTGAAGACATTTCCATGGTCATGTGGCCAGCATGGCTATATGCCAAGGCACACAAAACATTGTTACCTTCCCACCGAAGCGGTATCTATTTATTTACTTGCATTTCCATGCTTTCGAATTGCTAGGTGGGAGGAGCTGGGGCAAGTAACAGGAGCTCACCCCATCATGTAGCGCTTTGGTCTCAAACCCAGGTTGCCAACTGACAAGCTCAGAATCTTTAATCACTGAGCCATCGTGCCCCCCCAACCTTTTATAGAAATTATTTTAGACTAGTACTCAAAAACCAACCTATTTCTAAAGAATGGAAGATTTATTTTTAATAGTGCTTATTGTTAAAAACAAGACCCCCCCTTTTCCAATTTAGGACTATATCTAAGCCCTGGCTTCAAGGCTAAATCTGGCAGAAATCTTACCCACATGGATAAGATTGGCATATGAAAAATCTTTATTGCAATAAGAAAGGAACAGAATCAACCATCTGCAGACTAGACATGCAATCCAGGGAGATTTGTTGTTTCCCTGGAGCAAAAATCAAAGATGTGGCCGAGAACCTAACCAAAATAATTAGGCCCACAGATTACTACCTTTTCCTCCTCCTTCACATCAGGATGACTGACACAACAAAGAACCTGAGTACAGTATTGAGAGATTATAAGCAACTAGGCAATAAAGTTAAGGAGCTAGAAGAACAAGTAGTGTTCTTATCAGTACTCCCAATGAAAGGCCAACCCCCACTGAGGAAAAAAAGAATTCTAAAAATAAAGCACTGGCTAAAGGGTTGGTATTGCCAAGAAAACTTTGGTTTCCTGGACCATGGACTGCATTTCCTATGCAAAGGACTCTTGGCAAGGGATGGGCTGCACCTCATGGTAACAGAGAAAAATGTACTCGGAAAAAGACTGGCCCAACTCATCAAGAGGGCTTTAAACTAAAATTGAGGGGGAAGGGTGAACAATCTTTAGAATCAGTCATAACCAGTCATAAATCCCAAGAAAACAAACAATGAGGTAGGGAGTGTTATGTGCTCCTGGCTACTTTCCTTCGTGACCAGAGGCAAGCTCGCCTGACCAATAACCAGCCAAGACACAGTGAAGGTCTTTTGTTTCGTTTATTGCAATAAGCGGGGAGAGAAGCTTTCAAAGCTTAGTTCTCTCCAAAGTTTTAACCCAAAATATCTCCTTCTTTTATTCATCCCTATCACCGGCCGCTACAGCCCTCCTCTTTCCCCATTGGCTGAGGTAGTATGAGGTTACACTCTTTCCGTCCACCTATACACATTTCCTGATAACATACTAAATCATATTCACTTATACAATAAGAATAAGAAAAATTATTTTCTTATGGTTATTTTTAAACTCAATATATTTATGTCCCCATTTTGAACAATAAGTTCTTTTTCTGTTCTCCATTCAACCTTCCTTTCTGGCTAGCCATTTCCTATAAAAAAACTATTTATCTATTTTATGACTTTCCTCTTCCTTTCTCAGATCCAGCTATTTTTGCCTCTATGGTTATCTTACTTCCTTAATGTCTTCCTGACTCTCACCATCAATATTTTTCTTACTCGTTTCCATTGTATTGTAGGTTTTAACTGTCTCTGAAGATTTATCATATTGATGTATATTTATCAGGAGTGATGAGAAAAAAAGAAAAACTCAAACAACAATCAGGAAATGCAGGAAACATGCCCACAGAAAGCCATAAAGGTCTTAAATGCTTATATACAAATGCTCAAAGCTTGGGGAACAAACAGAGTGAACTAAAAGCAATAGTACACGAGGGCAGGTATGACATAGTTGGCATTACAGAAACCTGGTGGGACGAAACCCACAATTGGAATGTACTGATGGATGGATACAAATTGTTTATTCCAGTTTACTGGAATGTATTATATGTAGGAAAAGCCTGTATAATAGATAGAGCTTGTAAGATACCTGAAGTCTATTTTTTAAAAGAGAAAGATTTCCCTTGAAATAATTCCGTTTGTTGTTGTTGTTGTCAAAGAACCACATTTAAGTAATCTACTTAATCCGAAATATATACGGTATTCAGGGAAGCATCTTGGTTTTAGGCTAATAGTACAGTGTTAACTTTCTATTCTAGGATATTGTTTTGAAAATTGGAGGAGAGATTTGTGAGTTGTGTTATGTGCTCCTGGCTACTTTCCTTCGTGACCAGAGGCAAGCTCGCCTGACCAATTACCAGCCAAGACATGGTGAAGGCCTTTTGTTTCGTTTATTGCAATAAGCGGGGAGAGAAGCTATCAAAGCTTGGTTCTCTCCAAAGTTTTAACCCAAAATATCTCCTTTTATTCATCCTTATCACCGGCCGCTACATCCCTCCTCTTTCCCCGTTGGCTGAGGTACTATGAGGTTACACTCTTTCCGACTGCCTCCTACATATTTCCTGCTACATACCAAATCATATTCACATATACAATTATAATAAGAAAAATTAGACATTTAAATGGTTATTTTAAACTCAGTAGATATTTATGTCCCCATTTTAAACAATAAGTTCTTTTAAAAAATAAGAATCTTTTCAATTCAGTGTGCCTTTCTTCTTATCTTATTCAGCTTAGTTTCCTATCCTCCCATTCAACCTGTCTTTCCTGGCTAATCATTTCCTTTTACAGCTTTTCTTTATGTTAACCTTTCCTCTTTCCCACCATAGCTTCTCTACTCTGAAATTTCCACTGCAGCAAATTCAATTTTAAATTTCTCTTTCAATATTAAATTTTGAAGACCTTTCTTTTACTTCTATCAAATCCCCCCTTTTGATTTTATTACACTGAAAGGTCTTCATTATCATGTTTAGAAAATCTTATAACTATTAACTGTATAACTTCTTCTTTTCCTAAGACTTTCCTAAAAGCTTTTCCTACAGCTTTGGTTAAAGTAGATCCACATAAAGGAATACATTGCAGACATGCACAACACATAAGTCCTACAACCACTAAAAAATTTAAGCCAAGAAACATTTGTCTTAACCATTCAGTGTTGGGAAACCAATTAGTTAACCAACCCCAATCGCTCCACGTATTTTCATACTTTTGTTCAGGAACTTTAGCCACTTTCCTGATTCCTTTTGCAATATCCATTCTGCTTCATGATTATCATCTACCTTTAAATCCCACTTTTTTTTTACCTTTATTTCCCAGGCTGCTCTGGTCTGTTGTCTTCAATAATATTAGAATTAGAATCCACCCCTCATGATTATTACACAGTATTTCACACCCACAAATTGATCCACAATTTCAACAATAATAACAGCTACAGCAATCACAGTGACAATAACAAAAGATATACATTTACTACCTAATTCTTACAATGTACAATTCTACATTTTCAGTTTCTAATGGTATGACGTCTGTCTTAGTTCTTCATTCTATTTGTAACAAACCACTTTTACTTCTCTGATGAGTCATCACCAACATTTTTGTTCTTCATCTGGGGTCACCTGAAATTCTAATAGAGATATTCAAAATAGGTAGGGGTTCTGGTCCACTACCCATTCAAGTCCTTTGAAACGTGGCTTTCAGTCCTTGTTCTGGAATAACCATCCACCCTCTTTCAGGTCCAGTCACCACCTTTGCTCGTGTGTAGTGAGTCCAACCCTTCTCAGCCCTCCGGACAGCAGATTTAACATAAGGAACTTCCCTTCTTTGGTTGTAGAAGTTCCTCCTTCCATTTATGAATCAGCACCCACTGTCCTGGCTGGATCTTATGGACTGGAAATTCCAAAGGAGTTGTTTGTGCCACCAAGCCTTCCTGTCAAAGAGAAGACAGAGACCCCAGTACTTGTTCTACATTTAGCTATTTGTCTCCCTCCTTTGGGAGCCTTAACCCTTTATTAACCCTTTTACATATCAAATATCCCTCTGTAGCCCTTTGGGCTATCCCATAAATTCCAAGGGTAGCATAGAATTTCAAATACATTTCTACCTATGCTTTAATTCCCCAATGATCCCCCTCATATAGTTTTTGGATCATCATTCTTGCAGTATCTTGTGATAACCACAGAATCCCCTTAAGATCATTTTTGTTGTTTGGTAATTATAAATCTACTATAGCCTCAATCCTTTTACTATCTATTTTCCTTTCCCCTTCAACTATAATATATCCTAGATATTTTTACCTCCTTTCATATCAATTGGTATTATTTGCTAGACACCCTCAATCCTTTCTGCCAAAAAGTTGCTTTGCCATTTCTTTATAATTTCCAGAATAAGATCTTACAAAACTGGGAAGCTACATAAAAATGTATTTGCTTCCACAGCTTAAAAGTGGAGGAAAGAAAAGAAAGAACAAAAAATCATTTGTCCTGTATCAGATAGACTATACTTGTCCATGGAAGCTCTATCAAAAATTGTCACATTTTTCTTTCTCCTCCCCCTTTCACCCTGATTAGATACCATTACCATTACAAAAA